TTCTGACTACCTTGAGTTGCATACAATCTCTGTCGAGCAAATTGACAGGTTTCCTCAAGTAGGTGTCTGAAGTCTAACATACTGGTATGTGTTTCTTACTTCTGACTCTTCTTCTCCCGTCCATAGTTCTTTCAATATTTGAATCAGACCTCGTACTATTCTTCCATACAGTAACTCGAAGGGTAAAAATCCTGTACTTGCTTGTGGGACTTCTCAATAAGTGAGTAATACTGCATGCAAGGACTTGTCCCAGTCATGTGGTCTCTCTTGGCACATCTTCTTTAGCATACTTTTTTAAAACTCCATTGACTCTCTTGCAAAGTCCATTACATTTTGGATTGCATGTGGTTGTAAAGAGTTGCAGAGTACTGATGAGTCTGCAAACTTCTTGCATCAGTTCTGAAGTAAACTGGGTCCCTCTATCACTCAAGATTTCTCTCGGAAAGCCTACTCTGCAAAATATTTCCAGGAGGACTTATTCTATATATGTCTCTATCTTCGCCAGTGCTATTGCTTTCAGATAACGTGTCGCATAGTTGACTAATGTCAGAACATACTGGTTGCCCTTGTCATACACAGGCGTTAGTGGCCTGATCAAGTCCACAGCTACTTTGCTGAATGACTCTTCTATGAGAGGGATCTACCCCAATGGCACTTTGGCTACCTTCCCTCTATGTATTGTCCTTTGGCAGATGTCACATGACCTGCAGAATCTACTCGCGTCTCTGATGACTCCTGGTCAATGGAAGTTACTGGTGATTCCGTCTGCCATTTTATTTGTTCCTAGGTGTCCTCCCACAATTGATTCATGAGCCAACTTCATCACTTGAGTCCGGTATTCTGTTGGTACTATGATCTATTTAACTTCTCCAGTATAACTGCCTTGATAGATTCGGTATAGAACTTCCATCCAGTCCTCTTCTATAAGTATCTTTACCCTTTGTTTTGTGCTCGACTCTCTCCTGGGCTTGTTCCAAAGTTTCTGCAGTGAAGGATCTTTCTTCTGTGCTTCCTTCAGTTCCTGCAAACCTAAATTCAGTATTTGTCTTTTGACACTTGCAGGGGCTTGATGTCTTGTTTGCTCTTCTTTTCATGAGCTTTGGTGGTGACAGCAGATGCTTCATCAATCTTCTTTCTGTCTAGTTCCTCAAGGTTTCTACTACCTGGTATGTTTCCTATCACCAAGTCGTGTATTGGTTCCTTGATACACATAGCCTCAAGATCCCTCACTGTCCCATCAGTTAGTACACACAGGCATACCTCATCTGTCATCTGATCTTCAGATACTAGACTGGTTCTTACTGCTGCACTATTGCATATTATTATTTGTTGGCACCTCTTTATATTTGTCACGAGCTTCCATCACTATTGGCACTGTTTATTTGTTTGCCAATTTGAGCCGACCATTAGTCATGCTTTTTTGTATTGAATTTGACAAGTAGTCTTGATTCTCTTTCTTTTGGCAGCAGTATTCATAATGGCAGTCACTTTTTTCTTGTTTCTTACCAGCACTGTCTTTGTAAATGGCTCCAGCTGCTTTATGTTGAGGTTTCTGCTGTTGTTGGCACCTCATGATATTTGTCAAAAGCTCCCATCATTATTGGAACTGTTGATTTGTTTGGCAGTTTGAGCCGACCATTAATTGTGCACTGATCAATCACGCTTTCTTGTATTGAATTTGACAAGTAGTCTTGATTCTCTTTCTTCTGGCTGCAGTATCCATAATGCCAGTCACTTTTTTCTTACCAGCACTGTCTTTGTAAATGGTTTCAGCTGCTTTAAGTTGAGGTTTCTGCTGTTGTTTGCTGGTAATGGACTTGCACTCTTTTGCAATGTGCCCCATTTTATAACAAATATAACATCTCTTATTCCTTCTGTCTATTAACCTCCTGTCACCTTTGGTAAAATCCTGCATTTGGTCATCCATTACTGGTTTCAAAGTTAACTGGACATTCTTGGAATTGCCAGTTATACTACCTCCATGGGCTTCCATATACTGTTCTGCCAGCTTGATCATCTTGTTTACATCTTTTGGTGCTCTCCCCTTTAGGAACAGTGACATGGCAGTTGAACACGTGGTTATGAACTGTTCATGTATTAATAGGTCTGCCAGTCCCTCAAAAGTATTTTTACACATGGCCATGGCAGTCCATCTGGTGAAATATTGCCGGAGACATGTTTCAAATTGAAATACAGTTTCTTTAGTGTTGAGTTTGATTCCTCTGAACTTCTGATGAAAACCTTCTTCAGTAAGCTCATATTGTTTAATTAAACCACTTTGTTGTAATCCATGGCATTTTCCGACATCATGCCTGCATATACATGTAGGCCTCTTCCTGTGAGAAGTGGGCTGAGACAGACTGCCCAATCACCTTCTCGTGGCTCACTGTCTTTTTGAACCCAAGATGAGATCCTCTTTGTACCCATTTATCAAAATCACCTGACATGGTTATATAATGTAATCATAATCTCTACACTATTTTTTTTACTACTACAGTTGTGCATATATAGGCCTACTTATTTCTGCTGTTATATACTATTAAGAAGTGTGAGTAAAAGCCTTTTATTTTGACAATTGGTGAAAGAAGAATTATATCTATGCGTCCTGACAATGTTTCACCCCCCCACCACACACACATAGGGTGGTGGTGTTCTGCTGGTGTAGATGACCTGATATCCTCTGCTATAAAACATATGTAAACCAAAGGAATGAGACGTCAAATTGCAGTTCACCCTTGATTGGGATCCCTGATCCTACCCCCACGTGGATGTTGGTTCACATTGGCTGGGTTTTTGATTTAGAGTAGAACCAATCAACATGAATCCTCACACACATGTTATAGATGTCTATCTTCCTCCCCCAACCATACTCAATCTTTGTTATGGTTTATGGTGGCGGTACTTGGGATTGTTACAGTTCTTCCCCTTCTGCTCTCCCTCAGTGTATCTTATTCTGAGGATGTTATTGCACCTGGGTTGATTTCAGTCATTTTCAATGTTGAGGGAGTTGATTTCTCTATGGTAGACATCTTTTTGATTCCAGATGTTGGGTTCCCGGATTAATATGTGATTTTCTGTTCTTAACATGCCCTGTTCTGGAGTCAGGGTGAGATCCCCTCTGGTCCCTCGAACTTGAGGTGAAAGCAGTATGATCCTCACCCTACCCTCATGTGGATGTTGGTTCCCTGCAGCATGGGTTTTGGAAGTAGTTGACTTGCCGAGTAGGGTCTGTCATGTCCTAACCACTCTACACCTGGGGCACTTCCACTGTTTTCTTCCACACCAGTTGGATGTGCTCCTCTGTTTTCTGCCCACACAATATATATATATATATATATATATGACACTTTTCTCAGATAGGCAAAGAATATACCTGGTTCAGAAGTAGTGCAGGCTCCCACATCAGATCTTTGAATCTGACTCTCTAGTCTCAAGGCGTGTCCTTCAGACCCTTTTGAAGGATGCTTCTTTTTTTCCATTGCATTGTTCCCTCCACCTATTCAGTGTGGGATTCTAGCTAATTATGTAATGTTCCGTATCAGGAGGTTAGAATTTTCCTATACTGAAAATGTATTTCCGATAGGTACCTACCTTCTCTCACACTTCCCGCCCTTTCTCCTTACTGAAAACTGGTGCTTCCATTTTTTGCCAAAACTCCATTTGATAATTTGGTAAAATTGAATAGAGAGAGTCACATGCTTAAGGAGAGTTTATGGTACTCTCATTGGTGGAGTGTCATCGCATGGTGATTTGCAGGAGATATATTATAAGGAGTCATTTCTAATGGAGGGGAGGCAAAAGGTTCATGGCATGCATAATTTTTTTTCCATATAGAGGGCACCACTTATCAAGAATAGCTAATTATGTGAGAGGAGGTAAGTACTTATCGGAAATACATTTTCAGTATAGGGAAATTATAACATTTGCAATGTTATGATTTGCCATTCCTTTATATTATAAATAACTAGATAAGATTTTGCATGAGATACATTGCCACAGTCCCCATAGACAGGTTTGGGATTTGTGCTTTTGTTGGTTTTTACAGGTATCAAAGGTGAAAGAAATTACAAATTATGGGATTGGACCTGCTATTTCTATATAATTTGTTCATTCCAAATGAAACTTCATACAAGATTCCTTGCCACAGATTTGGAATTCATGCCATTATTGTAATTTTACAGGGATAAAAGGTCAAAATATTTTCTAGAATTAGAGTTTTTAGCCTGTCTTTCTTCATTACGTCAACCTATATAGATGAGACTTTGACCAAAGATACCTTGTGTCAACTCTTTAGACTAAAGCAGGTATATTTAGAATTTTTGTCTTTGATTTGTTTTTACATGGGTTGAAAGTAAAAAAAATTATATTGTAGGTAATAGAGAACTCTGAACCTAGATAGTGTATACATATATATACCAGGGGTTGTTATTAATAAAATTTTGGTTCACAGAACAAGTTAAATTACATACATTATGTCAGAGAATAGGTTTTAGTAAATAAACATAATATTTCTGGTTAATATGGTTGCAATTTTTTGTTCTTTCTTAAATCACTGTTGACAATTCCACTTTTCTGTTTTGTTTTCAAAATACTAAATTGTGAGTTTGTTCTGATAGTCTAAAAGTTTTTAATAAACTTTGTTATAAACCATATTTCATAACTGCATAGATGAAACATTTGATTAATACAAAGCTTTAAAATTAACTTAAAACATATATACAGATTTAAATGAGGTCTTGTCTATTTTTTAGTGAACTATTAGCTAATTTTAAATTCCAAGGATATTTTCCATTGAAATCCCTTTGATACTGAAACTTTAAAAAAGACCTAGCAACGTTAAACTCTAATTTATTCTATAATATATGAACATGATATATATTTAATATTTCAGGTTGTAAGCTTAAAATGCAGCTTTGGTTTAAATACATATAACCAAACATTTAATAATTAAAAAGGTTTTAACATTTTTAAATCATGCTCTTGAGTGCTTCTTGTTATAGACTGGAAGAATCGATGTCAGCTACCCACAAGTGGCTGGGCACAAGGGGCCTGTCATGGACATTGCTTGGTGTCCTCATAACGACAATGTCATAGCAAGTGCCTCTGATGATACTCTCGTCCGAGTTTGGCACATCCCTGATGGAGGTCTTGTCCGACCCTTAATTGACCCTGTTGTTGAGTTAGTAGGCCACCAGAAGAAGGTTGGCCTAATACAATGGCACCTGTCTGCTAATAATATATTGTTGAGTGCAGGTGAGCTATAATGAAATCTTGACATTTTCACTACTCATGTGTGTACACAGTGAAAATAGTAAATTATTGAGAGTTTTATGCATCTTTCTACATGTATAGTGTAAGCCATAATTATGTATCCAGTCACTATATCACAGTGTATTATGTCAATGCTCTACATGAGTTTCACCCATTTAAGTAGACTAGTGAGTGAACAAATAACTTATATCTTTGTCTCTTTCTCTCTCTCTCTCTCTTTGTTAACACTACTCAGTTTAACACAACTGAAAAGAAATTAAGAAGATTTTCACTGTTCTGCCTACTAGGGTAGCATAAAACATTGGTACATAATTATGGCTCACACCCAATGTCCAATACGTATAAGATATGTAACACTTAATTTTTCACAGATGTATGCTATCCTAGTGGCAAGATAAGTAGTCATTGTTGTATCTTGTGAGAGCATTGTTATAATCTAATAATTTAATAATATTGAGCTGAGGAAGCATGAGTTTGTTTGTTATCTTCATCTGTTTGAAGTATTAGCAGCAAACTAAACTTTTGTTTGTAGTACCTAGAACATATTAATCACACTAGTAATTATTTTTTCTAATGGAATTAAGTATAAATGTTTAATGAGCAACAAAACATTTGTATTACCACACATCGTAAAATGTGCATATATAGAGTATTTGTCTGTTATAGCTGTAGAGTAGTTAAAGAAAGAGTGCATGGAGTTATCATGAAGTTATGACAAGAGCAGTTTTCACTGTTTCTCTTGTTTCTTTGTACAATGGAGAACTATGACTATTAATTGCTAGTGTTGTTTGTTGGCAGAACTGTTGTAGTTATAAATCATGGCTCTTAAACTGTATAATGGAGAACCATAACAACTTATTACTAGTATTGTTTATTTGTATTGTTGTAATTATTGTTATCAAACTGTCAGTAGCACTGCTATTTCTAGAAATAAAATCATTCAAAAGTAGCTGTTTTAAATATAGCCTAACTACTAAATGGTAATTAATAATAGTCATATTTAATATTGTACTTACAGTTAGTATATCATTTAACTAGTAAAGCTGTTTTGGATGATAGGTGGTGACTGCAAAATATATATCTGGAATGTTGGCACCGGGGAAATCCTGTTTCAGATCAATCACCCTGATGTTATTTACGATTGTTGCTGGAGCTGGGATGGAGGTCGTATTGTCACTACGTGTAAAGACAAGAAAATCAGGGTTTATGATCCTCGCACGGGGGAAATCGAACAGGTAGTTTATACAGAAGTTAATTATCTTAAGCAAAAATAATTCAGTGAACATATAATGTTAGAAGCCTCGTTCATACATGATCAGTATATTCTCAGACAGGACAGTTAAGACAGTATTAGTTTCCAATGCAATAGCTCATCTCTGCTCACAAAATAGCTTTTCTCAATTAGTACTGCTCTCTATTGGCACAAATTTTCAATGCTCGCCACTAGCCTTCCATATTCTGCTTCTGCATATCCACATGTAAATAATTATGCAGCAGCTCTCCACCAATAGGAGCATGACACAACTCCTATTGTAACCAGCTCCCTCTCCACATTTCCATTCATTAATCACTTCTCGGTTGGCAGTAGTACTGTATGGACATGCTTGTTTTTGCTCGCAAGTATGTTGATGTTTTCCTTTATATTACAGGCTTCATTTTTCTTTACTATTTATTTAAATTTTAGCATTTTTGAATTGTGAAAGGTTGCTTTTTCCAACTTTTCTTACTTTTTTCATATTTTTTTTTTGCTTCAAGTTTGGAATTGTCACTAGACACCTGCAGTTTCAGGTTGTTACAGCTACCGCAGCTGTTACTGCTGCTGCGGTTTTCCCAACTACTACTACCATGTTGAATACTCAATTATCAGCCGAGGATGTGACGGCAATTATTTGATGAGAAATATCCACGTTCATGTAACCTTCACCACCACAGGAGGAATATCCTGTCATGCTTGTTCCTGGGGTGACTGACAGGGTGGATTAGAATTTGAATAACCTATCCTCCCAAATATACTTCCCAGTCCTGAGTGATATTGGGGGATTTACCTAGACCTCCTTCACATTTTGTGGAATTAATTAATCAGGTTTGTGCTATTTTGTTTGCTTTATCCTGTTTCGTATGATTCTCAACCTGCCCTAGGTGAAGAATCTATGGGCCAATATTTAGTGTTCCCTTCTTCACCTGATGTTGAGGTTCATGCTCACCATTTTGGGGATCAACTTTGGTCAGGGGTTAGTATGCCTCGTCTGTCTTGTACATCTGAAGATTATGCTTATGCATTTCATAGAACTTCCTTCCCTTATCTGGATTCCCAATATTTGGAATCTCTCATTACATTGTGGGGTTTGAACCCTAATGCATTGGTGAATTTCTCACAGCCTCAATTTTCCGGTATCAGACTGATGTTGTCCATAATTCTGTATGCATTTTTGACTATGCACTTGTTAACTCAGGCAATTCATTTGTCTTCTGAAGGGTTTTCAGTTAATGTTTGCAGTCTTCTTTGCAATGGCATGGCTTTCATCTTTGGCCCTGGCTTTTCAGACGTGGTTGATATGCTGTTGGGATCTTCTGGGTCAGGATGCCATTCTTTCTCAAGTAGGTTTACCCACTACTTCCCTGCGCAAGTTGTGCATTGTACCTTTTTGTATGTGAAGAGGTGTTTGGGGTTTTCCCAACTCACTAGAGGCCTGAGTTGGTTCTGCTTGTCTGCATAATTCATTATCCTTGTTTATTTCCTGTTTATCCCAACCTCTTCCTACTGTTTCTGTGTTATGCCCCTTCCCCCCTAATACAACTCTTTACTGGCTTCTCATTCTTCGTCCATTTGCAGTCGAATTGTTATTTGAAGGCATTTCAAATGATTACAGCATCGGTGACTCCACTACAGAGCTGGCATTAAGTTTTTACAATTTTACTATATGTGGACACCATTTACAACAGATTCATGGGTCCTACAGGTTCTTTCAGAGGATCTAGCTCTTCACTTCTATTACCCTTCCCTGTTGTATCCTCATCCTGTTACCTTCCTCCCACCAAGGGTTCCTGTTTCTTGCCAGCATCTACAGGAGGCAATTCAGGACTTACTTAGGAAAGAGGCCATAGAACTTGGGGAACCTTCTCAGCCAGGGGTTTTTATTCCTGTCTGTTCATTGTACTCAAAAAGATGGGAGATTGGCAACCAGTTAGAGATTTATCATCCCTGAACTGTTTCTGGGTCATACCCAAATTCACGATAGAGTCTTACTTAACCCTTTGGTGGGTTTTCACTCCTGGGTTGAAAATGATGAAGGTCAATGTGTCGGATGCCCATATACACATTCTCATCTCTCAGGCGTCCTGGCATTTTATCTGTTTTATCAGGGGTGTGTTGATCAGTTTTGGGCTCTACCATTTGGCCTAGCTTTGGTTCTTTATTCCTTCTGCCGAGTAGTCAGGTCATTTGCTTGGCTGCTTGAGGCCTCAGTTTCCGCCATTACATGTACAATTGGCTACTTTTGGCTTCCTCTCAGGTTGAATCTGTTGTTCATACTTAGTTTCTTCTTCAAGAGGCTACCAGAGTTGGTTGGCTCATCAAGGTGTTGAAGTTTTTTCTCACACCCACACAATATCTTATTCATCTGGGTGTGTTTTTCAATTTTCTCATCAGTTGGGCCCAGCCTTCTCTCCTTTGTTTATGGGATATGGAACATTTCATTCTCAGTCTGTTGGCCTCTCATGGTCTCTCGTTGGGTGCTTACTAAGGGGGAATAATTTTTTTACCAGCCTTCCACCAGTTCAATGTGGGATCCTAGCTATTTTGTGAGAAGAGGTAAGATGTCATATCGTAAGTTAATATTTTCCTAAACTGAAAATATATTTCCTATAGATAATTACCTCCTCTCACATTTCCTACCCAGCCTCCTCACTTCTGATGATATGTGGTGTAGGTCTTCTAACCAATCTCAAAGTGAGTAATGAGTGCAACTGTGGAGAGGGTGCTGGTTTTGATAGGGGTTGTGTCATGCTCCTATTGGTGGAGAGCTGCTGCATAATCATTTACATGTGGATATGCAGAATCGAGAGGTGGAAGGCTAGAGGTGAGCATAGAAAATTTGAACCGAAAGAGAGCAGTACTAATCAAGAAAAGCTATTTTGTGAGAGGAAGTATATATTGGAAATACATTTTCAGTTTAGGAAAATTTTAACTTTCTAATAGGGTGGTCATTGTATGGAATAGTTTACTTTCAAGTGTAGTAGAGGATGCAACATGAAAAAGAGGTTGAATGAGTATCCGAAAAGAGGGTTGAATATAACACACAGGTTTGTATATATATTATTGGAATAGTGTGGTAATAGAAAATGGGTTAGTCCAGATGGGCCATAGTGAACACTTGTTATCCCTTGAAAATGAACTTAAACTTTCAAACTAAAGCAGTGCATTTACTCTGTACTAGTAAAGTGTAAATTAAAAATACTTTTCCCTCCATAACACATCCTAGCACTCAACTAATGTAAATGTTAAAGTTAAGTTTAAGAAAACCGTTGAAATAGACTACATAAAAAAGTACATACATAATATTTTATTAGCAATTAGAACCCCTATTATCTATATTATGGTATTTTACAAGTTAGCAAATGTTTGAAACTTTTAAAATCAAGTAAATGTTTAAAATAATTTTATAGCCAATACATCAAGATGTTAATGACATTTTGGACTATATACGAAGTTGTTAATGATAACTCGTACTATACACAAAGGTGTTAATGAACATTCGTACTATACACAAAGGTGTTAATGAACACTCGTATTGTACACAAAGGTGTTAATGAACACTCTTACTGTACACAAAGGTGTTAATGAACACTTGTACTGTACATGAATATGTTAACAATAACTTGTATTGAGTCAGTGAATTTTCTTTTCTAACTACACAACTTGTTTCAGGAAGCCATGGGCCATGAAGGAGCTAAACCTCAACGTGCAGTTTATCTCAAGAATGGTTTGATACTTACCACAGGATTTTCTAGAATGAGTGAACGACAGTATGCACTACGTAGCGAGGCAAGAGTATTTTATTACTTCTTTTAGCTTAAAAGCAAAGTGTACTTAAGAGTAAATTAAAAGTTTGTCTGGGATTATTAGACCAGAAACCATGTTATATTATAAAGATCACCTGCTGGTATGTTAGAGAATAACTGAATGCCCAAAGTGATTTTGAAATTGGTTGATAGTGAGCCTAGTAGTTTCTGAACCATAATGAAGACATGAAGGATTCAACATGTAATTGTAAACGATTTTTCAAAATTTTTAAATTTGGGAGCTTTTGTTGTTGAAGCTATTAACAAATGATTGTTTAACTGGGAAAATTTAGTTTAGATCATCTATTTAAATAACTTTTAATGGGAGAGGGGAGCAATGACAAGATTTGATTATTGTTTTTTTTCTCATTTTGTCTTTTATTCAATTGTAGAGTGTTAAGATTACATTTATGAATAGCTCAGTACATTGTTTAGCAAATCCAAAGAAATCTAACATGGAGGATAATAATAACGTTATTAAAATGTTTGCCTTTTAGTTACTGCAATTTTATATACATTAGTTTATAAGTATATTTTAGAAACAAAAAACTTGTCATCAAAATACTATAAACCTTTATTATGTTTTGACATAACTTGTATGTTTTTTTGGGGTTTGCAAAGTAGGAATATTATTAATGAGAGCTAGCAGTTAGTTTTACAAAATGCTATAAAGTAAAAATAATAATTCAGAACAGATAAAAGAGTATTGGTAGTTTTGCAGGTGGCTTTGGATTCACCCTTCACGTTGGAGGTGTTGGACATCAGTAATGGTGTGTTGATTCCGTTCTATGATCCAGATGTAAACTTATTGTACCTGTGTGCAAAGGTAAGAGTATCTGATGTATCTTCTCTGTGATGATTTAAACAGAAGTGTCTTGTGTATCAGTTACATGTTAAGATAAAGATTCAAACTGTATCTTGTATAGACTGTTTGGCAAGATAAACTTAAGAAGTGGTTTCATATATATATTTTTTAAAAGCTTGCAGTCAGAATTGCTCTTCACTTCCCACTGAATCTTAAAGGACTGTTAAAAGCTGAGATTCAGTCAGTAATCAATGTTACAGTTGCTTTTTAAAATATTCAGTTTAATTGTTGCCCATTGAAATGTATGCCTTTCTCACTTCTGGCATAAGAAATTTGTTAAAGATGATTGTTTTTTATATTCATATCTCTATTTACAAACATTTCCCTACAGGGAGACAGCAACATACGATACTTTGAAATAACAGATGAGCCTCCATTTGTTCATTATATTAACACATACCAGTCCACGGTCCCCCAACGTGGTATGGGAATGATGCCAAAACGAGGCTGTGATATCAAGCATTGTGAAATATCAAGGTATAAGATATTTCTGACAGTTATTTGAATGGCTTGTAATAAAATTCTGACTACTGGTGTTGGAAAAAATTAGGACAATAGTTTAAAGTATAACATTTTGGACATGAAACTTTTATGTAACTGTTTAGAGAAAATTGGATTCAAACAAGATCAATACTGCCAAATTTATCATATTTCATGTGTGTGATATTATATAGAATGCTCAAGCCAGAGATTTACCTATTGTCATATTTCTTTTCTTCTGCAAGTCATAGGAGTTTCAATGAATTAAAATGGAAAATACTATTATTTGTTGAATACAAGATTTTACACATTGATGGAGTACTTGCCTTCAGTTACGATTGAGGAATAAATAAAATTTTTACAATTATCCTAAAATGAAAATTTGAAAAGTTTATTAAACAGTACAGAATTATATATTTTCAGAAACTTAGTTCAAAATTGAAAACCTACTGAGGTATTAAACAGAATAATTTTTTAATCCATTGTTAATGGTTAAGCTTTTTTATTAGTGGTATCACTAGCAGTTAAAAATCTAATCTGTTTGTAACGTAGTTACAAACAAATCTGATTTTTAACACTAGGGCCACCACTAACAAGAAAGTTTAAATATCAATAATCTGTGTCACAAACAAATCTGATTTTTAACACTAGGGCCACCACTAACAAGAAAGTTTAAATATCAATAATCTGTGTCACAAAACAAATCTGACTTTTACCACTTGTAGTACCACTAATATGAAAGCTTAAGCATCAATAACCATAGATCATTTATGCTTAAGCTTTCTTATTAGTGGTGCTCCTAGTGGTAAAAATCAGATTTGTTTGTAACATAGACCATTTATGCTTAAGCTTTCTTATTAGTAATGCTCTTAGTGGTAATTAATCAGACTTGTTTGAAACAAACTTATATTTAGTTTTCATGGATGTTATTTTCATACACAATTTTATAATAACTAACCTATGACAACCCAGAACAACTGCTAAAAAGTTTAATAGATATATATATATATATATTTAACTTGACCAAATTTTGGAGGTCATCATCTAACCAATCTTCAGTTTGAGATTGTTATGGGTCTTCAGTATTTCTAACTATACTGGCAGTTCAAATAGGACATTACATCAGAAGTGGTGTGAAACTTATAATGGCCTGACAGAATTGTGTGAACTAAAACACTTTTCTATACTTGAGTTTGAATTTATGTTATTGTAGAATTGAGTGTTAAAACAATTGTTCTTTGCTGTAGGTTCTTTCGATTGCACTCTAGTGGTTTTTGTGAAATCCTATCATTTACTGTTCCAAGAAAGGTATGCCTTAGGTTATCAATTATAGTTTTGGTCACTTTTAAAGAGTATTGATGCAAAATTTTAATTATGTTTTGATATATTTAAAATGTCTCCTTTTATCTAAATCTTAAGTAATCCAACTCATTTTATTTAATATTTTTCAAATGTTCATTATGTTGGAACTGTGACATTTCTAATGTCCAGAAGCTGTAAAAGCCTTTTCCGATATGGTACTTATATCCTCTCACAAAATTAACTATTCTTGTTCAGTGCTGCCCTCTATATGCAAATTTTCCCTTTACACATTCCACAGGCCTTCTGCCCCCCCCCCCTCCTTATTGGAATCGAAAGATTCCAACATGTGTCTCATGCAAATCATCATCATGCATCACTTCTCCACCAATAGTAGCATGACATGCTCACATGATGCATGTGACTCCCTTTATACTCCTCTACCAAACTATCACTTCTTGTTTGGCAGAGCTTGTATTCAGACGTGTGTTTTGTTTGTTTAAAGATTCACTTTCCTCACAAAGTGTTTTTTTTTAATTCATTTAGTTTTCATTCAGACAGTTTCTTTACTTTAAATTTTTATCAGTTAGTTCCAGTTGCATTATTCTTTTTCACTGCTCAAATTTGGTGGATGCTTCTTAACAATGAATTCCAAAGTTCATATTACCACTTCGGAATTCACACCAGTGACTAGCATTCTTTCTTAGGCTTCAGGTGCGGGCAACCTGACAGTAGATTTGTCCACGTTTATTTGCTGGGAGATTGAATGTTACATGGGCCTTTGTCCCCAGACTTTGTCCCGGTTCCTCCTGAACAGGCAGAGCCTTCTTATTTTGCCGTACCTTCCCATCCCCTGCCTGAGGAATCAGTTAGGCCTAACTTGTTCTTTTTATATTTTGTTTCTCAGGTATGTGACGTTTTATCCCTTTCTCCTATTTGTTATGAGCCATGTCCTTCCTTGTTACATGACCAGTCTTCCCACTCCCCTGATATTCGTGTTCATGCTAATCAATTTGCCTTACAATTAACCAATGGGATTAGCATTCCTCACCCCCCTTGGGCTTCAGATCAGTTGGTGCTTTCATATCATTGTGCTGACTTTTTTTTTTCTGGACCAACAGTTGTTAGGTTCTATATCGCCTGTTTGAGGGGGTGGCTCCCGAATCACCTGTCAGTCTGACCTATGCTCAGTATTCTCACCTGCATCTTACCCTTACAAACTCTTTTATAGTATCTTTCTTCTCTACACCTTCTCTCTGAGGCTATCTGCAGAAATCCTGAGAGGTTTTCTGGTGATACCCTTTCCCTTTTTTCCTCCACACTAGCTCATTTATTGTCTTTGGCTCTGGATTTGCATACATGGTTTCTCTGTTGTTGGTACCTTCTAGGTCATGATACAATTTTGGCTAGGAACCATTTACCATTGACATATTTTCAGGATTTACGTATGGCTTCATTTCTGCAGCGATATGTTTTGACATAATCCCAGAAACACTAAAGCCATGGGTGGCATTAGTCCAACAACAATCTACCCTTACCAATATTGTTGCACGTTTGTCTCTGTCAGAGCCTCATATGCCACCTATTACCATTACCTGTCCTTCCCCTTCTAAACCTTTACCTGTCTCTTCTTCTTGTCATATTTTTTTTACGATGCACCTCACGTCGCCAACAGTACCGCGGGTTTTAGTCCAGTGAGAGCTTGGCTTGCCGATTTTCTTCATCACTGGTGTTCCTTCATTGAGGATCAATGGCTTCTTCAGGTTTTATCAGAAGGATTCGTGATCTCCTTTCTTTCCCCAACTTCCCTATCTCCTTTCCCCATTTTCTTCCCTCCTCTTCAGGATGCCGAAATCAGTCAGCATCTGTTGGAAGCAGTTCAGGAATTGCTATCTCAGCAGGCCATCAAACCTGTTCTCCATCCTTCAACAGGTTTTTATTTCCAACTTTTTGTTGTTCCCAAGAAAACCAGGGACTGGAAGCCGGTCATAGGTTTATCTCACCTCAACCACTTCATTCATCTGCCCTGGTTTACCATGAGTTTTTCTCATTCTGAAGTGGGTATTTTCTCCAGGTTTATGGATGACCAAGATGGATGTCAACAATGCTTATATCCATATACCTATATCACCTCGGTCTCATCCTTATCTTCTGTTTGTCCATCTCGGGATGGTTTATCAATTTCGAGCACCACCATTTGGGTTTGCTTCAGCCCCTTATGTTTTCTGTTGGGTATTCTGAGTGCTTGCTCGACATCTTCATGCTCTTGGGTTGATTTTTCACTATTACATGAATGACTGGCTTCTTCTGGTTCATTTCGAACTGGAGTCGGCCATCCATTCTCCGCAGTTCCTTTTAATGGCTGCATGAGTGGGCTAGTTAATAAAACTGGAGAAGTTCTTCCTCAGACCTACTGATTATCTCATCCATTTGGAGGTCTTTTTCGACACTTGTATCAGTTGGGCCCAGCCTTCTCCTTTAAGACTTTATTCTATGGAACTGTTAGTCTGCCATGCCCTCTCAGTTCTTACTTACTTACTGCTAGTGAGGTTCTATGGTGTTTGGGAATGTAGTTTTCAATGACATCACTGGTCCCTCTCGGTCTTGCACATGTGAGATACCTTCACTGGGCACTTCACAATCAATGGAACCTTGTATGGGATCCTCTTTCTACTCCCATTACCCTTCCTCTTACCCTGTGAGACGATCTGCTTTGGTGGTTGAACAAGGCACATATTTCAGCAGGCATGCCACTTTCTCCCCCGTATCCGGATCTACATCCCTGCAAATCTGGGGTGCATGGGTCAACCATCAGGAAGCTTCGGGCTGTTGGTCTATGGACAAAAGTGCTTTGCATATCAACATTCTTAAACTTCTAGCTATATGTTGGGCATTAAATCAATTCTTTCTTCTTGCCTAACATTGTCTGGTGATGGTTCATTCCAACAATTCTACAATGGTGGCACATATCGATCACCAAGGCAGCACCCAGTTGAGAGATTTAAGTTTTTGGATGTTGGATCTCTTATACTGGGCCCACATGCAACACATTCATCTCATTGTGTGTTGTATGCCAGGTGCTTTCAATCTTATTGCGGATCGTCTTTCCAGCCCCAATGGGATATATCCGACAGAATAGTCCTTAGATCCCTTTGTTTCCAGGAGCTTTGCACTCAGTGGGGTTCTCCAAACATGGATGCATTTGCTACGAGCCTCAATCACAAGTTACCTCTCTTTTGGTTGCCAGTTCCTCATCATCAGGCTCTAGCAGTCGATGCCTTCAACCAAGATTGGTCCCACAAATATCTTTATATGTATCCTCCTATCCTATTACTTCATCAGGTGATCTCTTTCATCCACACCACTCCTTGTCAGATCCTTCTAATTGTTCCTTATTGGCCAGCTCAGCCATGGTTTCCATGATTACAGCACCTGCTACTCTCTGTACCTATTCTCTCACCTCCCTACCTTCTTTCTCAACCTCGGTCACTGGTCCTACATCCTGCTCTTCATACCCTACATCTTCAGTACTGGCTTTTATCCAGTCTTTGGCAAGGAGATCCAGTTTCTCCTGTTGAGTTGCTTTCCTTTTAGCTGGTTCCATACGTCCTTCTTCAATGGAAGGTGTTCCACAGTTGGTCTACAACTTGATTTCCCACTGACCAGCCTACTGTGGCTCAGGTGGTGGAATTTCTCACTTGGCTTTTTGACTGGGGTCCTCGGTTTCCTCATCTTGGGTTATGAGGTGGCTTTATCCCATACCTTTTGTTTTTCCCGATACTGTGGAGTTTTTACTTCACCTGTCCTTACCATGCTACTGTATTCCTTCAGGTTTTGTCACTCCCCCATGCAACCTACCCTTCCTGATTGAGATGTTAATGTGGTACTCTATTCCCTCACTAATTTCCTTGTGTTTCATGTTTCACCTTTCCCTTAAAACATATTTCCTTCTCGTTTTAGCCTGTGGACATTGACAGTCAGATTTGTTTGCCATTGACGTTTCACATGCACTTTATCACCCTACCTATTTTTTTCTTTATCCAGATTGTTCCTTCCTCCCAAATACCTCAGTGGCTCCATGTAGGCTTCTGTGTCCAGTCAGGGCTCTTCATTCTAATATTGCCTATCCCCTGGTAGTCTTCTTTCCTTTGTGATCTTTCACCTTCAACCCTTACTAGTTGGGTCTGACTTTTGATCCAATTGACTTATTCCTTCTTGCCTTCTTCTTTTCTCCTGGAATTTGTTCTGAGTGTCTTCTTATCAGACACCTCATCTTTTCCTTTGCTTCTAATCTTTGTCGTCCATTGGAGGAAATTCTACAATCAGGCATGTGAACCACACCTAATATCTCCCATTATCTACATTATATCGTGGTTTCTTATTCATCAGGTTATTGTCTTCCACCTGTGGACATTCTTCAGACTTTGGTGCAACTCTGTTTGGTAAGTTTCTATTCATACTTTCTTTTGTTTTCAGAGGCCTTTTTTTCTTCATTCCTCATTGTATGGATCCCACTCTTTGGCGAGTGGTGCCTGGCTAGGTATTCTTTAACTTGAAATACATCTGCACTGTACAGCCATGTTGACTCATGCTTTATATTCCATGGCTTCTCAATGCTCACTGTTGAGATGGAGTGTTCCATAAGATTGCTGTAGATGAGTAACCTTAAGATATTTTGCTTCATAAACATGCATGTCCTGGACCGTACCACCCATGGACTGCATGGGTAAAGCAGAAGGGAATAGCTGCCCATCCCTACCATGCCTGTAGTGAATAGCTTGTTATGGTCTGCTTTTCAAAATAGGGTTTCTTGGTCACCAATTATACTGTCTCAGGTGATGATGTTCCTATGGATTCTTCACTGCCTTTTTACCCTTCTTTCTTCTAGTGGAGTTTGGGAGTCCTTACCACTTTCCAGTTCCAAGCCGCTAGGCTATAACCATCCAGTGCAGAGCAGGGCGGTAGTGTTCTGTCCTCCTCTTTGCAATATATAATTATAAAGGAGTGATACGTCAAAATGCAGTTCACCTCTTCGATTGGGAGCCCTCATCCTTTCCCTGCTCAGATGTTGGAACCAATCAACATAAGTCCTCACACCTTTTGGGTTGCCTTATCTTCCTTCCTTGATTGTCTTCTGTGTTGTGGGTCACAGAATTGGTACATGGGATTGTTACAGTTCTATTCTTTGGCTCTCCCTTGTCCTATCTTAATATGGAGATGTTATTGCCTTTTGTATGGTTCTGGTAAGTTTCCTGGTTGGGGGAGTTCATTGCATGCAATAGACATCCTTTTGATGCTGGATGTCAGATCCCCAGATCAATAGCTCAGTACTAATACTTGTGTCATACCTGGGAGACGGCATGATTTTCAATCCCCCTGGTCTCTTTGGTTTGAGGTGAAGATGGTATGATCCTCATCCTTCCCTCACGTGGATGTCGGTTCCAAGCTACATGAGTTTTGAATGTAGTCGACTTACTGAGTACAGTCCATTGTGCCCTAACCACTCTACACCTGAGGGCATATCCATTGTTTTACCCACTTATTCATGGGATGAAGTTATATTTATTTTATATTGTTAGGATCATGATCCTGACACAGTATTCTCCCACTTAGATGTGCTCCTCTCCCTTTCTGCCCTTATCTTCTCCACATTTCACAGAGGGGCAAAGAGTATACCTGGTTCAGAAGTGGTGCAGTTCCCCTCATCTGATATTCGGATCTAACTCTCATTTCCAGGGGGAATCCTTCGGCTTGGTTTTTTTTTTTTTTGGGGGTGGGTACTTCTATCACAACCTCACTCCGGTCCCTCGACCTATTCAATGTGTTATTCTAGCTAATTTTGTGAGAGGAGGTAAGTACTGTTTCGGAATTTATAATTTTCCTATACTAAAAATGTATTTCCGATAGGTACTTACCCCTTCTCACACTTCCCACTTTCTTCCAGTGTTTATGTCTTCTGACAAATTTCAAAGTGATAGTTTGGTATAGGAGTATAGAGGGAGTCGCATGCATCACATGAGCATATCATGCTCCTATTGGTGGAGTAGTGACACATGATGATGATTTGCATGACAGACATTTTGGAATATTTCAATTCCAGTAAGGGAGAGCAGAAGGCTTGTGGCATGCATAAAGAAAAGTTTGCATATAGAGGGCAGCACTGAATGTGAATAGTTAAGTATCTTTTGAAAATACATTTTCAGTATAGGAAAATTAGAACTTCTACATTAACACATTCATTATGGTCACCAAAAATTTTTTTTTTCCAGTCTGACCAGTATCAAGATGATCTGTATCCTAATACACTTGCAGATGTTCCTGCTATTTCATCTGAGGAGTGGGCTGATGGGAAGGATGCAGAACCAATTTTGGTTGGTAATCATGTCTGTTAGAAATAAATTATTTAAAACTTGTCATTTTTGGGTAAAGTTGAATGAATATGTAGCTGAATGTTTAGGTTATAAAGGCCAATGTGATTTATAGATAAGGAAAACCTATTTCTTAGTTCATCAAAACATTGTTATCAATATACATGTAATATTTTTAGAAGGTGTGTAATAGATAAAATGCTTTCATCATGTTCCTAAGTTGTAAAGAAGAAAAAGGAATGTCAGAGAAATGCTAAAAAACTAAATGTGAAGCCCAATCTATCATTCTTTGTACTACCAGTCACTGAGTTATACCGATTATGGGGAATTCCACCTCTCGCCAGTTACCCTAGACAAGGACAAATTGAAAGAATAAGATTAGTTGTCTTATAGTGTTGAAGTGAATGAATGTTATATAGTAAAATTTACTATTTTATGTGTTATTAGCTATGATTTTATATATCATGTTGGTTATATTTTAAACCCACAGAACTCAATCTGAAAGTATTTGAAACTTGTATCATAGATATTTTGAAGTATCTAAAATGAAATTTACCTGTTCAAATATATAACAACAATAATAATAAGATGAATGTAAGGTCAATAGTTGTATCAGTATGTTGCAAAGAAGCATTCAAGATTTTGAAGTTGAAGCTAATTTTTGTACAAATTTATTGAAAGAAAAAAAAGAGAAATTTGAGAAACAAACAGGAGTTTAGAAATTTCTGAATTTTTAAAGAATGCTGTTCTCTTTGTTTGATAGAAGTGACTGTACTGTATGACAATATTTAAACTGTTAATCTAACATGAAATAATTAACATAAAAGAGTTGGGTTAAACTTAACATCTAAACATTTTTGATTAGCCTCTGGAAATGTAATTTCCTTATTATAAAATGCCCTGTAAGTTTTGAAAAGTTTTAGTTAATGAAGGAGTGACCATATTAGTTGTAGTTAACGTTTATTCCAAAACTTATTTTAACCTATTAAAATTAATGTTAAATTAAAAATCCATATATCTGCATTGTTACAAGCATGAATATATATCAAAAATAAATAAGACATGCAATATTAAAAACAAAACTACATAGTCTGCAAGTTTTGACTACCTAATTGAAACTTGTAGCTTTTGTATTTTGTTTTATAATAATGTAAGTTTTATTTATTTTTAAATATTTATTCATGCATAAATTGTATGAGGCATTTTGGTTTATACTGATATTTAGTATGAAGTTCTTTTTAATAATTTTTCAAATGATAAATTCGTGACAGAGCTAGGGGTTTGTTCCAAAGACTGGTTGAAATACAAGATCCCTTCATTTTAAACCATATTTTATGTCTGATTTATTCTTTACTTATTAGTTGATCGACAATTGAAATGTTTTCACATAGATATCCCTTAAAGAGGGCTTCATCCCTACCAAAAAGCAGGAATTTAAGGTTATGAAGAAGCCAAACATCCTAGATAAAATGCCAAAACATACAGTGCAAGCTCCATCAGCAGCTTCTGTAAGTTAGCTATCCATACATTGTGAAAAATTACTTATGTGACTGAGCCAAATACAATCACTATAAATGATCCACATAACATTCTGTAAATATGTATAACATCACTCTGTGAATGATATATATAACATTGTCTAAGTAGTGTAACATCACTCTGTGAATCATATACATAACATTTATCTAAGTATTGTACATCACTCTGTGAATGATATGTATAACATTCTGTAAATAATGCATAAAACATCATTCTGTGAGTGATCTACATAACATTCTTTAAACATGTATAACAACATTATTCAGTGAATGATCTACATAAAGTTCTGTAAGTAATGTGTAACATCATTCTGTGAATGATCTGTATAACATTCTTCAAACATGTATAACATCATTCTGTGAATGATCTACATAAAGTTCTGTAAGTAATATGTAACATCATTCTGTGAATGATCTACATAAAATTCTGTAAGTAATGTGTAAAACATCATTCTGTGAGTGATCTGTATAACATTCTTTATACATGTATAACATCATTCTGTGAATGATCTACATAATGTTCTGTAAGTAATGAGTAACATCATTCTGTGAATGATGTACATAAAATTCTGTAAGTAATGTGTAAAACATCATTCTGTGAGTGATCTACATAAAATTCTGTAAGTAATGTGTAACATCATCCTGTGAATGATCTACATAAAATTCTGTAAGTAATGTGTAAAACATCATTCTGTGAGTGTTCTGTATAACATTCTTTAAACATGTATAACATCATTCTGTGAATGATCTACATAATGTTCTGTAAGTAATGAGTAAAACATCATTCTGTGAAAGGCCCCCCCAGTGGCACAGCAGTATGTCTGCGGACTTACAGCACTAGAATCCGGTTTTCGATACCCGTGGTGGGCAGAGCACAGATAGCCCATTGTGTAGCTTTGTGCTTAATTACAAACAAACAAATCTACATAAAGTTCTGTAAGTAATGTGACATCACTCTTCAAATGATATACATAAAGTTCTGTAAATAATGTGTAAAACATCATTCTGTGAGTGATCTACATAACATTTTGTAAATGACATCTATAACATCACTCTGTAAATGATGTACATAACATTCTGTGATGATGTGTATAACATCACTGAATGATCTACATAACATATTCTGCTGATGATGTATATGATACCACTGTATGAATGATCCATATACGATCATTGTGTGATTCAGCTGTTCAACCCTGTTTAAATGATCTAAGCAGCACTACTGTGTGGAGGATGAGTAATATTAATACATTGTATATAACATTGTATGAATGATATTTATACCATCATTTTTTCAATCGGATTAAAGACAGCTGATTTAGAGCAGCAAAACTACAGGGTGAAAGCACATGTAGATACATAAGTATTGGTTAGGCCAAGCAAACTAGATTAGCAGTTTGTAGCTCAAGTTTTCATAAGAATCATACAGATGGACAGTTATTATTCATTATTCCCTGCCAACTTTTAAGCATAAATTTGCTAAGTTTTATGAAATTCTCCTAACTAAAGAGGGTTTAGCATCACATGATATTAGCTTAAGCAGTTAGCATAAATAATGATGTTTCATACAGCTGTATCGAGT